CATGTCCTCCCTAGAATGAGTGACAAGGGAAACACTGAGAAACTCAGAGGGATGCTGCAAGCATAGGCAGTATGATAAATGAGTAGGATATTCAAGGGATACTAAAGACCTAGCACTTACTCTGTGGAGACAACCAAAGTGACACTGGGTCTCATTGACCCCAAACCTGATTCCAGGATGGTGGGGTGATGTGTGGTGGTCATCTCTTGCTGGATTCTTCTAAGGCTACCCACAGAGCTCAGGAGCATGTGACTTGCTGCCTACACACTGCCCTTTCCATCCCTTCTGCTTCCCGGTCAGCTTCTTCCTGCTACTCAGGGGTCTTGATTGAGACGGTTCCAGCTGAAGACAGTTCCATCCTGTTTGATGCCAAGGCAGTCTGGCAGGTAGATATTACTTCACAACAATGTCTGCTCCATGGGGACTGGGTTTGGTTTTTTTTTTTGTTTGTTTGTTTGTGCCTCTTTGGTCTGGTCTGTGCCTGGTGCATGGTAGGTTTTCAGTCAATGCATGTGGATGACTGAAGGATTGAACACAACCCAGAAAGCATGCATCTTGACTTTTTTTTTTTTTTTTGCATCTTGACTTTTAAAAGACCTCCTCCTGGGTCAGCAAGAGTAGTCCTGTGGTTGGTGAGGTGGACATCTGACTTCTCTTTGGCTCCCTCCATCTTGCTGTCTCATGATTCCTGATGGTCTCTGATTCAGATGTGGATTACTCCAAGCTCAAACCACTTTCCAGTCCAACACTGTTGACTCTGGATGTTCCCACGATTTCAGTCTCACATCCCACACTGGCACTGATTCCTGTACCTCTGGGTCTGAATTCCTGTTTACAGTTTTATTGTCTGTATTAGTTTCCTATGGCTGATGCAACTAATTACCACAAATGTGGTGGCTTAACACAACACAGATTATCTGGGGGGTCAGGAATCTGAAATGAGTATTAAAGGGTTAAAGTCAAAGTGTCAGCTGAGCTGTGTTCCTTTCTGGAGTCTGCAGGGGACAATCCATTCCTCATCTTCTCCAGTTCTGAGAGGCAGCTAGCACACTTCGGTCTGTGGCTATTATCACTCCACTTTCTGCTTCTGTTGTCCCCTGGTCTGCTTCCATCACTGCTGACTGATCTTCCTTCATCCCTCTTACTAGGATCCTAATCTTGGGTCCACCTGGATAGCCCAGGACAATGTACACATCTCAGCACCCTTATGTTTACTACATATGCAGAGCTCCTTCTACTCTGGAAGATAATACATTCACTGGTTTAGAGACAAGGATGTGGACATCTTTGTGGGGAGGCCAAGACTGTGCCTACTGCACAGCCCCACCCCATGGCCGGCACAGAGATCTCCTGAGCTGTCTAAACAATATTGTAGGTGTGGCATGACCATGAAGAGGGTGTCTGTTCCCTTCTGCCGTCTGTCCCCCATGGACTCTGGTCTATCCCAAGAGCCCACAAGGATAGAAGGGATCTTGCTTGCATCAGTGCTATTGGGTGTGGCTGGAAAGGTACTTTCTGATGCTCCACTGGAAACCAATGTCATTTGCTGGATGTTGTGGTTCTAGGATATTGCCCCACTAATCTGATCATAGGCCTTGGAGTTCTTAGGAGTTAAAAAAAAAATCTCTGAGGTCAAATACATGTAGTTGCCTTCAGAGTCTTTATCTTCAGCCCCCACTGCTTGTAATTATCTTTGAGCAGAAGCCACTGTGGAGAACGGGAGAATATCTGTGGCTGGGGATGGCTGATTGAATGGCGCAGTGGAAGATTCTGAGCAGAAGCAGGCTGATTTGGCCAGCAGTGCAAGAAAACAAGGCACTCGGAGAGGTCTCAGCCTCTCCTCAACCCTACTTTGCTGCGATTTACAGGTAGTCCTGCCACAACTCTCAACATGAGCCCTTATGCGTGGTCCCCGGTCAAACCACAGGATGTGGCACTGATCCTCCACTGATGCTCAGGACCTATGGCAGACCCATCTGTGTTGCTGGGCTGGCCAGGAAGCTGTAGCTGTCCTGGCACGGGCACGCTGGCAGGCAAATGCTGATACCACTTCAAAGAACCACCCTTCCAGGTGCTAAGGGCGGCTTTTCTGATGCTCACGCTGTGTCATTGTTTATTTTCGCAAGGCACCCAGCTGTTGCGGTGATGATATTTATATCAATAAGTGCTCTATTCATCTGCCGATTTTAGGGGATGCTTGCCAGCTGCATATGGCAGCCAACCTCATGGCTCTTCTGAGCCTGATGTTTTTGCATTTAGAGAATCAATTCTCAAAGACTGTACCAACATCTGGAGCTGAGAAATCTTCCTTTACTTAAGACCCACTCCGGCAGGAGAAGCTACAGCCAATGACCTTGAGCCCTGCTTCTCTACCCCTCCCAAAGTGAGGTTCTCCCCTTCCTGTACCAATCACCTATTGCCAACACAGTAGTCAGAGGGATTTTTTTTTTAAAGTCAAAGTATGTCCCTCTTCTCCTCAAGACCTGTTGGTGGCTCCCTTCTCTCATAGTAAAATCTCAAGTTCTTCCTATGACCCCTTAGACCTTCCATGACCTGGCCCTGCCGTGTCTCTGTGTCACCTGCTGCTGTTCCCACACTCACTCTGTGCCAGTCATAGTGGCCTCTGTGCTGTTCCTCAGATGTGCCAGGCACGAACCCACCATAAGGAGTGGATGTGGGTTGTCCCATCTCCCTGTGATGCTTTTCCCAGAGATGGTCACAGGGCTCATTCTCTCTCCTCTTTCAAAACCACACACGTCTATGACCTTCTCAGTAGGGCCTGCCTTAATAACACTATCCCAATTGTATTCCATGCCCCAACCCCACCTTCCAATCTACCTTACCCTGCCCTTGTATTTTTTCCCATATACTCATCACTGTCTAACACATAATTAGGTACATTATAGGGTGGTATTTGTTATTTACTGTCTCTTCCATTTTAGAACAGAAGTTGCAGCAGAGATGGGAATTTGCTGTTTCGCTTGCTCTGTCTTGTTCACAACACATTCCAAACACCTAGAATAGCTCCTGGCGGCTAACTGATATTCCAAAATATGGTTGAAGACTGAGCGCATCTCTCCTGTTTGTCTCTCACGTGCACACCCCACGGGGCACTCCATTTCATCCCATTAATCGACTTCTCTCCCTGCCACCTCCTGCCTTCCCCATCTCCGCTGGAGCGTCCCCAGATGCCTGACTGCCCAGACCTGGGCCTTGCCACCATCCACAACTTCTCCTTCACCTCCTGCATCCAGCTGCTCCCCAAACCTGTGCACCTGCATCTGGAAGCCCAGATTCCACATCCCAGCCCAGCTGTCCCGCCTGCCAGCCACCTCCTCGGTTCAGACCACCACCTCTCTTTTCTGTACCTTGGCAACATCCTCCTCCCCAATCTCCTGGCTCACACATTTCCTTGCAGCTTCTCCTCCTCGCTGGTCCCCAGATGCAGCTTTCTAATAGGAACTCAGCCACACCACGGCTTAAACGCTGCAGTGTTTCTCCTCCCTCGACAGCAAGTACTGTCTCACAGTGCTCCTGGGAACCCCCAGAGGTTCACAAAGGCACCCAGAGTCCTGATTCTCCAAGAGGCATGGGGGGCAGGGGGGACCAGAAGGGGTAGCTAGAGGGGAGCCAGAAGACCAGTCTGGGTGGAGTTCAACCCACAAGATGTGATTCACCACCAACAACTGTTTCATATACTGCGCCTGCATGAAAGCTTTATTCGAAGAAATGGTTCTGATGCTTACAAAGTAAGAATCTGACACTTACCATGCTGCATGCAGGCCACGGCTCAAACTCTGTAGCCCACATGGGCAGCCCTGTGCCGCCAGGGCCCTGTTGCATTTTTCAGCCTCACCACCATCTCCTGCTCCTAGACAGACCCCTGCCCCAGCCACACTGCAACCCAAGCTATTCTGCAAACAAGCCACACACATTCACACCACCTTGCCTCTGCCCCACTGCTCCCTCTGCTCAGAGTGCCTTTTCCCAGCTCCCTCAGCTGTATCATCCAAACCTCTGCTGCCTTCTTCAAGGCCAAAGTCACCTTCTTTTTGAAGTCTTCCCTCACCCTCTGGGCAGAATTAATTGCTCCCTGTTCTCGGCCAGCAAAGCACTTCGAGGCTGACCTCTATTATAGCACTGCCACGTGAGGTTGGGACAATTTGCTCATCTGTCTCTGTAGCAAGACTGTGAGCTCCTGCAGGGCTGAGACCACAGTTCAGACCCATTTTATTTTATTCCCACACAAGGCCAGCATGCACAAAGGAGTTCACTGAGGTACCTTGAGTTTCTTTTAAGACAGCAAAATGACCACTTTCCAAAAATCCTGAAAGGACATTCCCACTTTTTCCACCCTGGAATGGCTGCCGTGTCATGAGCCCCAGAAGCTGTCCCAGGACATATGTCTTGAGTACTGAAATGTGCTATAGGCACATAATGCATGGATCTGTCAGACCCTGGGGGTGAAGGCATGAAGCCTGCCTGGACATAAGAGCCCTCTGCGATGAAGCCAGGATCCTCAGGGTGGCTAGTGGCAAAGGGTGCAAGGTTCAAGCTCTAGGCTCTGTCCTTATGGACTGCATCTCTGAGGGGGTAGGCTGGGTGGGGTGGGTGTGGCCAGGCATCAGGCTTCCTGCAGGGCTGGAGATGCTCAGAGCTGGGGAGGCTCTGTGAGCCCCTGGGCTCACTGTGATTTACAGCAAGGCTCTAATCAGTGCCTGGTGTATGCAGCTACAGAACCTGACCCTGGACAGGGGAGGAGGGCTGGACAAAGCCCACAGGCAGGGGGTGTCGCTGGAAGTGAGAGGGCATGGGTAGGGGATGGCGGTGGAAGGGCCTGGCAAGAGACCCCCCAGCCTCCACCTGCAGCAGGATGGGCTGGTTTGGTGCTGGCAGTCAGCTAGGCAGCACTATGCTGACTCTCACACTCTCTCTTCAACTCTTGGGCATGGCTGCCTGAACGCACCTGAGTACCTGGGAAGTGGATGGGCTCCTCCTACCTGGGCAGTGTCCATCTCATTCAGCATCACCACAGAAGAGCAGTTATAGTCGAACACCAGCCTCCAGAAGTCTGCCACGGTGTTGGGTAGAGGGTGCTGGGTGACCACGAAGGCGGCAGGCTGCTTGTGGCTCTGACAAAGGAATGACATAGGCCTCGTAAAAGACACACCCAGCAGTGATGCTCTGATGGTGATGAGGCTTGGATGGCTGCCAGAGGCCCCTGAACCTGCCAAACAGATTGCACAAAACACCTACCTGTTCTTCATCTCTGGATGCCCCAGTGGCAAAGAGAGCCTTCTCATAATGAACTCATTCTCCTCTAAACTAAGACGTTTCATTAGGAAAGTGTCACTCGGCTGGGGATTATCCAAATAAATTATTTATGTTGTGGAGCTCAGCAAATAATCATCATTACAATATGAAATGAAAGATTCTGGATGCAGATTTGCTGCTTTGCTGGCCAAAGCACCTCCTGGGACATTAGAGATATCTGTGTTGCTGTGCCCACAACGCTGGAGGAGGGGTTGGCTCAGGCCCAAGGCAGAGAGTCTCCTAAAGAGGCTTCTACTTCAGGAAGCTTGCTCTGGCCCCTGGGCCAGAGTAAGGCCTGAGCTGGCCTGTCAGGAGACAGGTACTGTGTGCTGTGAGATGATGGGCAGAGGAGGGTGCTTGTGTATGTTTTAGTGTCAGACAGACCTGGGGTTCAAATCCAGCTTTCTGACTTGTAGGTAATGTCATTCATCCATCCATCCATCTATCCAACCATCCATTCATCCAAGCATCATTTGTAGAGTGCCCCCCCACCCCCCTTTTTTTTGGTGCTAAGCGCTAGCAAGTTATTGGGTCTTTCCAAGCTTAGGTTCCTCATCTGGAAAAATAGGAATCACAACTCCCATTTTGGGATGGTTGTTGTGCACATGGAAAGAGATTAGTATTTGAAAAGACCAGCACACAAGAATGGACTGTGAGCCCAGTGGCAGGGCAGAACCATCTCTGACTTGGTTCTTCGTCCTTGGCACTAGCACTGTGACTGGCACACGAGACCTCTGATACAGGTCCAGCAAACAAATGAATACACCCAGTCCTATGTTATGGATGGGGATACTGAGGCCCACAGGAAAGAGTTTGTGAGAGTCTGGGCTACACCAGAAGTTCTGAGTAGATCCTATTTATTATAGTATATTGTGAGAAGGTGTTTGGAAAGGTTGGAAGTTAGTGGTCCATGGAACTGGAGATTGTTCCACAGCCTGTGTTCTTAACAAGCCTTCTTGAGGCAGGCCCTGTGGCAGACACAGCTGTTTTCAGTAGAGTGACGAGTCAGCAGGAAGATGGGGGAGGCGAGAGGGACTTGCCCATGCAAACCAGGGGAAGACCCGGGCGAAAGACCTTGCCAGCCTTATTACCTATAGCACCTGCATGTTCTGTGATCTCTCAATGCCCTGGTGGCAAAAAAATGCCTTGAGATTGTGGATGTCATATAGGCATTAGTGTCCTGTCTTCCAAGGGCCGCCTTCTGGCCTGCTGAATGGTCAAAGGGGCAGGGCCTGGGAGGGTAGAAGATTTTGTTTCTCCAAAAGCCAAATTCCAGCTGCAGATAGCAGGTCTCTGAGCCATTTCTAGACATGGAAAAGATTTTGAGACTCTAAAGACAGGGTCCAGACCCTGGGCTCCACCCTTTCTGAACTACTCAACCTGGAGACAGTCATACAAATACTCTGAGCCTCAGTATTTTATCCGGAAAGTGAGGACAGTAATGCCCAAATACAGAAAGAGTCAGACTAAGTCCAGGGCCCGACAGGGTGCCCAACACTTGGTGAATGTTCATTCTCTTTCCTTCTTCCCTGTCTCTGTGATAAATGCTCTATTAGGCCAGCATGCCTGACAAAGCCTTATCTGAAAATATGTTCGAGATCCGCGCTCCTGCCGGGTTTCAGGGATCAGCCGGCAATCCATTTCATGGATAACATCATCCTTTACCAGGGGAAACATTAAAAATTAACCCAGAGGACTTCATATTTTTCTGCTAGGAGCAAAGCTGCTATGGTTACCAGATAATGCACAGACTGAACTGGAATACAGATAAGGACTTTTTTTTTTTTTTTTCTAAGAAAGGCAAAGGCCCAGTGATGGCTCACAGGAGAAATGCCCTGTGGACAAAGAGAACACAATCAGCATCAGAGCTTGGCAGAAGGCATTTGGCTCCAGGCAGCATCTAACCTACTAAGTAGAGGCCAGAAGCATGTTTGATCCTTGCATAAATGAGGAAGCCAGGGAGAGGGAGTTAGGACAAGTGGGAGAAAAGGCAATGAGGAACTTGGAAGTGTGACTACACCCCCAGGCCCCATCTCTTGACACACACACACACATGCATGCACATACACATAAGCGCATGTGCTCACACACACACAACCTATGCATGCACACATACATATACGTACACATTTATCTTGGAGGACTCTAAGCTAAAGCCAGAGGTTTTCCCTCCACCTCGAGCTATTTGACCTTAACAAGGCAAGGCTTCCTGCTTCTGGACCCATAGGAGAGTTTCCATGGAGGACAGAGACATTAGGGCAGGCCCTGACAGAGCTGACAGGCATTGAGCTCCCATCATCTCCCTGCCTCCTACACTGAGGGCCCTTGGTGAGAGTTTCAGGAGGATCAGAGGTCAAAGAAGTAGTTAGCTATGACCCCAGAGGAGAGCACTGCACATTCTTGCCGGTTCTGGGTGAGATGTCCATGTGGGCTGGATGGACATGGCCTTGGACATGGTGGGGAGGGGAACCTGGAAAGGCTTATCTCCAATTAGGCAATGGTATCCTTGGTCCTAAGCCTAGGGAGGTGAGATGTCTGTCTCTCACCGGATTGCACAAATGTGGGGAGGCCCACAGGATGAATTCTAGAGTGTGAGTCCTGGGTTCTGGCTCTGCCACTAGCTTTCTGGGTGACCTTGAGCAAGTCTCTTTCTCTTTCTGGTCTCAGTTTCCTTTGCTGAAAAGCATAAGGAGCCTGAGACCAGATGATCTATGGCTCCTTCTTGCTGCAAACATCTCTACATGCAGGAGGTGGAGGGATGATCACCAGAAGGAGCTGAAGGACCCAGCAGGGAAGCATACAAGTCAGGAGCAAGGTCTCATTGGGGCCAGGACATGACTTCTAATTAGGGTCATGACTCCTAAACCAGGTCAGAGTAGGAGTGCCCTGTTGAGACTTGATGCTGAGCAAGCAGGAGACAATGCCTCTGATGGAACAGTCAGGAACATGGCCTGTCCCCTTCTGTGCTCTCTTTGCTGCATCCCATCACTTGTCTAGTAACCACTTACTGAGCAACTACTACCTGCCAGTCTCATTCCTGTCTCTGCATAGGAATTACCTGGGAAACTGCCTGGGAGCTCCCTGAGGGCAGACCCTATGTCTATACCATCTTGCATTCCCACAGCCCAGGCCAAGGCCTGGCATATGGACTGTTTCCTGAACTGAACTGAAGGCAGCAGGAAGGAGGGACTGGACAGGCCTGTGCCATGTTGTCATGGACACGCACTTTAAGCTTTTGGTCTATTCTTTCCAGCCTTATGGGAGCAAAGAGCCAAGAACACAGCCAGAATATAGGTTGGGGCCAGAGCCTTCGTGGGAGCAAGCCTTGGGGGGCAGGAAGGTCAGAAGCAGGGAGAGGTTGGCTGGGGGCGGTGGTGTGGGGTGTCAGTGCCCTGGGTTCCAGCCATCTCCACCTTGAAGAAACTTCCCAGTGAGTGCCTGCCAGGGCCCAGCTTACGTCCATCAGTGCGGCATTGACATAGTTGCTGGGTTCCCCATCCACTGAGATAAGGAAGGGCAGGCAGCGGTCCAGAGGCAGGACATCCATACTCCGGTTCTTATCATGATTCCGGGGCAGGAGCCCGATGCTGCAGTCCTCGGGCCGGACGCGGGGCGTCACGATGTTGAGGGTCTGAAGGTGCAAAGATAGATAGGTAGGCACCGCTCAGGTGGTTGCTTCAAACAGAGGAGACAAGTGAGGTTCAAACTCCGCCTACTCCAACCTATCTCCATCCTCCAAGCTTGGCTCTCCAATCCCTCCCCAGCACTTGTTCCTCTCCCATGTGACAATCTTCCATCTCCTGTTGGCTGCCCCATGCCCTGTGCACTGAGCGCCTCTATTGGGGCTGTGTGACACCCCCGTGATGCCAAGGCTGCAGAGGCAGCACACCCACACACAGCAGACACAGGCTGCCAGCACCTGCCAACTGTTAGAGCTAAGGTGCTCATTTCTGTGAAGGGTGGGACAGCCAGGAAGTTGGAGGGTGGGACTGGGGTGTCTCTGAGGAGTGCTATGCATCCCTTGAAGTGCCATGGAAGGATTTCCCCAATGCTCCTCTCAGGGAAAGCAGTTCTTGGGATGGAAGGATGTCTGGAGAAGCTGCTCAGGATGGAAGAGACCACCAGCAGGCAGGCTCCATGACTGGAAAATGTCAGGCTGTGTTCTGCAGAGTGAGTCTTACAAGTGTGGGGCCAGAGCTGAATTGTTTGGCCAGGAGACCAGGTGCTCTGTGTATGCAGAAGGCAGATGTGGCCTCCATCCTTCCCCCATTTTGCACTTGGCCTCCTCTCCCAATCAGTAAAGCCTCTGTCTGAGGGAGCATGGGGGTACTGGTCACAAGGGCTGCAAGGTGCAGATCTGCTATGCCTGAGCTGAGCTCTGGGATGGTGCTTCTCAAAACTCAGTGTGTGGACAAATGACCCTGAGATCTTGTTCAACTGCAAGTTCTTACTCAGTAGATGTGGGTGGGACCCATGATGCGACATTCCTAATGAGCTCCCAGGTGAAGCTGATGGTGCTGGTCTCCAGACCCCGCTCTGGTTACTGAGGATCTATGACAGACACCCTCCACTTGTACAGAAATGGCAAGAAAAGCTGAGCCCTCCAGGGACGGCGGAGTGAGGAACTCACACCTGTATTTATAAACTTGTCTCCACCCACAACTGGGACTCCACTAGAACTCAGTTGAAACACACGATCAGAGTTAAACCCAGGTGTCAGCAGTCACTGAGTGACTGGTTAAGGGCTGCTCGTGGCTGTGTGTTGTATGTTCTGGAATTCATTCTGCAGCCGTCGAGAGCTACAGACCCTGGAGACCCTCGATTTCTCAGTTCTCACAAAGAAACCCCCATGGATGTGTGCAGTGCCGCCAAAGGCGGCTTGGGTCATTGAGCCCAGAACTTGCTCATACCTGAAACTCATCTTTGATTTGGCTGGAGTTGGTCTGGGGGTCCAGCCTGCTGATGTTGTAGTAGAGAGAGCGGAACTCGCACACGGGGATGGCGGTGTTGCCGCAGAGGCACGCTTCCAGGATGGCATCGTGCACAAACACGTACTGCTCCTGCCAGGCCGTGGAGGGGACAGAGAGGGTTCTGGGTGAGAACAGTGGCCTGGGAGTTTGTTGTCCAAATTTAGCCCCCTGGCTGTGAGGGAGGGGTGGGATTTAGACCGCAGAATCACTGCTTCCTGTCCCCAAACCCGAAGGGCCAAGTTTCCATGTTTCTTAGTGATTGCCTGAGTGATGGGGTTTTGTCCCTCGTGTAAGACTGAACAGTGGGGTCACTGATGACAGAAACTTTAGGATCTGTTGCAGCAGGGGCTCTTGGTACCTGCCTATGTCCCCTCAGCTTTCATCTTGAAGGCAGCCTACTGCAAGCCCCTGAGATTCAGGCCGAGGGATTTCTTCTAGTCCCAGCAGCACCTGGGGCTGAGTGCAGGGCGAGCCAGCGGGCTGAGGAGTCAGTGCTCGGGGAAGGAGCCTGAGAGCGGTGTCAGCTGGACAGCTGGGACAGAAAACCCAAATTCCTTCTCTCTCAGGTGGGATATTTAGAAGGGCACATTCTATACTGCCTCAGAGCTCCCAGCAGGCTTGGGCTCCAGGTGTCCACAGGGTTAAAGAGCTTGCAATACTCCTTAATGGTGTCACGCGGCTTGGCTTCCTTTCCTTCTCTTTGCCTTCTAACCAATGAGTCTTGGGATCACCTCCCATATAGGCCACATGCCCTTAGCTCCTTCTCTTGGGGTCCGCTCCTGACCCCTGTGCCCCCTGCCACCTCTATGCTTTGCACCTGTGGTTGTCTTCCTCTGGAACCCTGTCTCCTCCTCCCCCACTTTGCTATATCCCTCCGCTTCATTCCCTCTGGAAAGTCTTCTTTCTGCAAACTCGCCAGATGGAAGCTGTTGCTGTTGCTCCCAGGCCCTTAACAAATGTTTGTTGAGTGACCGTTCTCTTGCAGAACTTGGCCCATCTCTACATAAAACACTTATCCAGATGCATCATGATGATTTGAATGTCTGTCTCCCCCACCAGACAACAGGCGTGTCTAGTGCCAGCCAGCGAGCCTGTGCTCCGTAAGCATGAATCTGGGAACAGATAAAGCAGCCTCTTGGCTTTACTGCAGCCTCACCAAGTCTAGACACTAGCCTGCAGGAGTTAGCTCAGAGCCCCCAGCAGGGTCCTACGTGTAGAAGCTTGTAAATGGGGGGATTCTCTGTGGAGCCAGCTGTGTCTGGCCTTGCCCAGAGCCAAAACTTTCCTTTGCAGGACTAATGATGGATGTAGCTTCTTATCTGTCCTAGCTGATGGCCTGGGCAGCCACAGCCTTCCCTAGAACCAGATGATACAGGCTTGTTAGAAGAATAACCAGCCATGGTTCTGAGGAGTGGGGTAGGCAGAAAAGGCCGCCTCACAAGAGATTATGGTTCAGGGAAGAGAGCATGGGACTTGGAGTCACATGAACCCGAGTCCCACAGCACTGTCCACATGTGTGCAGACTTGGGGACCTAGCTTCTGTATTTCTTTATCTGTAAAACAGGGATACTAGTAGGAGCTGCCCCATAGGTTTGTTGTGAGGAATATAAATAATATCCTGAATATAAAGAACCTAGCGTGATGCCTGGCACATAGCAGGTGCTCAATGATAAAGATGAACACCTCCCTTTTCCCTCAGGTCTTGGGTCCTCTACTTGGACAGAGGGAGGCCTGAAGGTCTGCTTTTCCCTCAGGGCATGGGCTATGTGTTATCTTTCTTGGAATCCCTAGAACCCAGCCCAAGTACTCAATACTTTTATTAATTAAGTCATTCATGCAGAGACTGAAGCAATGCTCAGCACATAGTAGGAATTCAGTAAATGCCAATCCTTCCCCATCTTCTCTTTCCCTCAAGGAAGGAGTGCAATTCAAAGAAGCCTTGAAAGTTGCCATTCACTTCCTACTTGGATCCTCTCAGAGCTGGGGAACTCACCACTATGCCTCACTAGTGCAAGCGCTTGCACTGTGGGACCCCAGGGTTCGCAGCAGTGTCCTAGCTTCTACCTTCGTAGCAGGCCATGCATTCCGTCCTTCCATTTCTTCCACCCCCACGTCTCTTTCTATAGGATGCCTCCACCCATGGGTGTCTGTTCTACCTTGCTTCTCCTTGGCCAGGGCTGCAGCTCGCTGGCCAGCTCAGTCCCCCAGGACTCACCTCCGTCTGCACCAGGTTGACCCTCTGGGCCCGGAGCTCGCGCACACAGTTGAAGATGTCCACCACCCCTTCGTTCTCAGCCATGTCGAGCATGGTGTCGATGGCGATGAAGCAGCCGGTCCTCCCCGCTCCAGCACTGGGAGAGAGGACGGTGTCTGTGTTAGAGACCTCCAGGCATGACCAGCCCTGGGGAGAAGGCCCCTCCCCCCAAGCACTCAGCTCTGTCCCGAGGCCCCTGCAGAGAGGCAGTGGGCTGCAGAGGTCAGACACTATCCTCTGAAGCCCAGCGCTGCAGGGAAACTCTGAGCAAGCAAATGAACTTGGAGCCTCAGCATTCTCTTTTGTAAAATGGGAGGGCTATGCTTGCCCTGGGGGCTATTTTATCAGAACCTGCTTATTTTTGTTGTACTTGTTTAGTAAAGACTTATTTAATGCTTACAAAGCGCCAGATGTTGTTTTAAGTGCTTTACAAAACCCCCTTGTGGGGTTGTTGGGAAGTTTCTCACCCCATTTTACAGGTGAGAAAAGTGAGGTGCAGAAAGCAGACCTTGCTCAAGGTCACAGAGCAGACATGCAGTGGAGGTGGGACTCTTCACCCCAGCAATCTAGCCCTTGGGTCTGTGCTCTTAGACATTCCCTCCTAATAACAGTCACAGCATAAGACGCATGCTTCGACAACACATACGCAGGCTGTTTCCTCCTCCGGTGGGCGAAGCTAATCTATGTTGTACAAGGCATGGTGCCTGGCACACTGGACATGCCTAATAAACATGTCTTCCCCATTCCCCCTTCTGTCTTTTTTCCCTCTGTCAGCAGACAGGTTGATGGAAAGGATGGAAGCGAAGAGGCAGAGGTGAGGGAACAGAAAGGAGGTGGGAAGGCAGAGACCAGATCCTCTGAGTGGTCCCAAAGGCAGAAGTGAGTCCCATGTCTCATGTCACAAGCCCCAGGTCTGGCTCCACTTGCACCTGTTTTCCCAGGAACATGAGCCAGGAGCATTCTTAAGCTGCAATAGGTGACACCCCCAAGACCCTGGTCTTGTATACATACTCTGATCCTATTTATTTTTTTAAAGATTTTATTTATTCATGAGACACACACACACACACACACACACACACACAGACACACAGACAGAGAGAGAATGGCAGAGACACAGGCAGAGAGAGAAGCAGGCTCCATGCAGGAACCCAATGTGGGACTTGATCGTGGGACTCCAGGATCATGCCCTGGGCCGAAGGGAGGCGCTCAACCCACTGAGCCACCCAGGCTTCCCTATATACTCTTATTCTGATCCTACTCAATTCTGACCTCTCATAGCTTTCTTTAGGAAAATTGTAGCTCGGGGACAAAATAGTGAAAGAACTCAGCATGACCATGGACCACAGCCTTCCCTGATCATCACGGGGTTCCAGTCATGCACTGAACCAGTGACAGAGCACTGGCCTTAAATGCACCTAGTTTAGGAAGTGAAGGCCGGGCTAGTGAGGAGGCCCATGCTGCCTGTGTTTTCACATCTCGCTTCCCCTAGGGGGAGACAAGGGATGGGGCAGGGAGAGAGCAGTACTGGCTGACCATAAATCCGGGGAGGCCAGGTCACCAGGACTGCTCACCAGGACAGGTCACCCACAATGATCTGGAAAACAAACCTGTGTGAAGCAGTCTTCGTTCTTAGTAAAATTTCATGGTATAAATGGAGTGAAGTTTGATGTGTATTTGTACCTTTCCATCTCCTAATCCCACCACCCCCCTCCTTCTCCCAGAATGGACTCAGCAAGCTGGGCCCCAGGGAGCACAAACAGCCACTCATCTGTCTTCCTGTAGGCTTTCCTTCTACCTGTGTAAGGGGAAACAACCTGCCTGACCTGGTTTTGAATCTTGGATCCACCAGCAGTGAACCACCTTCCTGGTGTCCATAAGCCCCACCCATATAGTGTGGCTCCCTGTAGGGTTCTCATGAGGACTTGAGCTGTATTTTCTGCCCAAAGAAATGAGCTCAGTTGCTGCCCAAATATGAGCTCAGTTGCTCATGATATTTGGGGTTAGACCCCTGGAACCAAATCCTGGTTCAACCACTTATTAGCTGTGTGACTTTGGGTAAATTACTTAACCTTTCTGGGTTTCAATAACCTCAACCACAAAATGAGGCTGATGATCATAAATAGACCCACCATGTAGCACTGATAGCATCACACATGTACGCTGCATGAAATGATGCAGAAAAAACACACTGCATGTAAATGACTCAGCCCTATGCCTGGCTGCATAGATAGCAATTTCTCAATAAATGGTAGCTACTTTTATTGAACAAATATTTATTGAGCACCTGGTATGCACTAGATGCTGGGATTGGGAGTGGGTATTTGAAGTTAAGCAGACATGGTTTCTGCTCTAAAGCATTAACAGTCTGGGGAGGGGGCCAGAAACAGGCAGAGAATTGTAGTGTTTTTAAATGCTTATTATATGTCAGGGCTTGCAGGCCTCATATATGTTACCCAGCACATTTCATCCTCAGAACGGCCCCAGGAGCAGGGTCCCCTGTGCCAGGGGCATTAGGCGGACTGGCTCTGGAGGTAAGACACAGAGCCGCCGTGCAAGGAGAGCCTGATAAATGTGTGCCATTGTCTCTCTTCCTCCCCTATCCCTGCTTTGGCTGCTCTCTGGGACACAGGATTTGGGGGCTAATGTTCTGCTGTCCTTGAACTGTCATGAGCTGTCAAGCAGAGAATATATGCAGGATGCTTTGAGGGCCCAGGGCTGATGGTGACTATCACTCCTGACCCTCAGTGACCTCATCTGTGAAATGGGATCTCTAATTCCGACCCGATTGTGTGGGATGCTGAGTGACAAGGGGCTGGCCCTGAGATGCCTGCAGTTTGTGGAGTCCCTCTCTGGATTCACCCAAGACCCTGACCCTGGTGGACACCGCCAGGTAGGGAATAAGGTAAGAACGTGCAGGGCCTGAAGAGCTGTGCTGGGCTCAAGGTCACACTGGGAGGAAGGCGTGTGCGGGCCAGCTGGCCTTCAGGTCTGGTCCAATTCTGACTGCCTTGACACAACACTTCATCTCCATTTAGGGGGACCGGAAGATGTGCCTGTCATTCCCCGTGTGACTTTCTAGGTCAGAGCTGAAAATACCTCTTCTCCACAATAAGGTGAAGCCTGGCGCTGTCCATTTATGCTCTCTGTTAAGGCCCCTGCAGGCCAGCAATTGATTTTTAAAATAACAGAACTGAAGAGAAGCACACTTCCACTGAGGCGCCCTGCTGCCCTGGCAAGCAGCCAAAGGCCAGCATCTGGAGAAAAGCCTGTCAGCTCCTGGCTCGGCCCATTTACACATGTGTGATCTGAGCAAAGCATCCACCTTTGCAGCACCTTGATGCTCTCATCTGTAAAATGGGAAGGATGATAACGGCCCATCCCTCCAGGCTGCATGGGGAGTGTGCAAAGTGCACCCGGAGCAGACGTAGGCAGTGTGAGCCCCTGGCCCTAGATGGCTTTACTATTTCAGGGCAACAATGATGATACCAACTGGTATTACTACTATTACTTTGTTGTTGTTGTCAAACCTTGGGACCTAGGCTGGGCATGGGACAGAGGCAGTGCAGTCTTGAAGGCAAAGAAGGAAGGCGGCTTGAAAGACAGTGTCTCTGTCCCTGAGAGCAGAGCTGCAGGAGCAGCCTTGTTTGGAGCTGGAGGCCTTTACTTACCTGCAGTGGACCACTATGGGCCCAGCCTCAGGGGGGTTGAGAAACTTGACCTGGCGCACGAAGCCCAGGAGGCCGGTGGCGTAGCAGGGGACACCGTGGTCGGGCCAGCTGGTGAAGTGGAAGAGGCGGAGCTCCCGGATCTCGTGGTAGCCTTTCTGAGGAGAGAATGGGCCTCTGTTCCTCCAGCTGCTGCCTCCCTACATGCCTGTCAAGCACCCATGGGGAGCATGCCTGCTGCACAGAGGAACCAGCCTCCCTGCTACCAGGGAGGAAAGGACCCTGCCAGGTGAGCAACGCTTGCCACACAGGATGACTTCTGTGATCTGCTGCATCCAGGAGCCATGGAAGTCAACAATGTATTAGTAGTGGCTTTGCTGCAGGACTTCTCAGAGCCTTTAGTGGGCTCAGGAACACTCTGTATCCCCAAGGGGGTGTTGTAACACACTCACAGTGTTTATCCAAGGGGCTCTCTTTTGACAAGGGACTTATAATCAGAACAGACTCAGAGAAAGGTTCATCCAAAACATCGAGTTCGAGTCATTTCCAGTGGAACATGAGGCCTTTCAGTGACTGGAGTCCCTCACTGTCTCCAGGGCTTTCAAATTAAAAAAAAAAAATGTCAAACTCCTTGATTCATTAGATTCTTATTTAGAATTATAAGATAGGAAACAAATAAAAGCAGAGCTTCTCTGACTGATGGGAGCACTGGGGCCTGGGGCTCCGGTTGCTTCCCCTTCCCCTCTCACCATTCAGAGACACCCTCCAGGCTAAGGGCATGTCTCTGACTGGTCCCTACGGGGTCAGGTGTCACCTCGGAGCCTGTGTCCTCACCTACTTTCTCCTACCTTGCAATCTCCTGCAGATATGTAGAGAACACTGAATAGGAAGAGTGTTTGATTATTCTTTCAGCTAAGGAATATTCACCAAGGGTTCTCTATAGTGCCAACCCTTGTGTTAGGCACTGTGAAGGCAGAAACAAAAGCCACAGTCCCTGTCCCTGGAACAGCTCATGGTCTAGCTGGAGAGGCACACTCCTAAGTGGATAGTCCCACTGAAGTGCTTAAAGGAGTGTCAGGTAACCCCATCTGGGGAAGGAGAAATCAGAGAAGGCTTCCTGGAGGAGGTGATGTGTGACCTGAGGCTTCAAATACATTAATAGTGAAAATAACAGCTAACATTTATCAAGCACAGACTGCATGCCTGTTATTCATCTGAACCTTTCAGTGTATTAACTCATTTGATCCTCATCTCAGTCCTTACACTGTTATCTCTGTTGTATGGATGAGGAAATTGAGGGTAAGCCAGGTTAAGGAATGCAGCCAGGTCACACAGCTAGTCAGCTGTAACCCAGTCTGGACCCTGGCTGTTGGACCCCATGGTCTGCACTGCTCGTCACTACGAGACACTGATGCCTGACTGTTGCCCAGTGGAAGAGTCGGCGGGACTCCTGGGCAGAGAGGCAGCACAGGCAAGGAGACGGGGACGGCACGTGCATGGACTCTCACACACAGGGCACCCCCGGGACAGAATGGAAGACAAGCAAGGGTAGACAAGCAAGGGTAGACAGAGGGACGGGGGTGGGAGGCTGGGCGTGTTGGATCCTGGAAGGGCTTGATTGGGGAGCTATGGGGTGGTTGCCCAGGTGATTGCACAGAGGGGAAGTGCATGGTCAGGATTGCACCGGCTGCTACAGGAGCATGGAGGTGAGTGGGTGTGTTGGGGGGCAGTGGTGAGAGTACTGGTGCTGCCTCCCCTCCCAGATTCCCTTTCCTGGGCCAGGGTTTCATACCCAGCTCTTCTGAGTCTTGGCTGCAGACACCCATAGCTACCTCTTCCATCAAAGAATTGCCCAGCCGACCCGGAGCCCCTTCCCTTGGGGGTCTAGGGGGACGGGCAGCTGGCATTCAGCGGCTGACAGGACAGCAGAGTGACCAGCAGACTTGGTGAAGTCTGCCCAGGACTGAGGGATTTCCTGGGAAGGGGGACTTTTGGTGCCAAAGCCAGGATGGTCCTGGGCACACCAGGACGCTGACCCTAATGGAGGAACAGAAGCCCCTGTGCCTCCGGACAGGATCAACTGTGTGGTGGGGTTCATGCCCCAGAGCTCCTGGGGGATCCAGCTGACTCTGGTCTTGGGCTGAGAGCATGCCCTGGCTTGGCTCCTTCCACTGCCCTGACCCTCCTCCCTTCCACCCCCGCCTTCTCAGAGCTCTTCCTCAATGCTTCGGCTAGGGCACCCAAAGCCCTGCCTCAGGCTCGGCTTCCCAGAAACACAAACTAAAATGGGGCGAGACTAGGGGCAGAGAACCCCACAGGAGGCTGAGGCAGTCCAGGCCTGAGCAAGCAAAGGCTAGATGGCTGCCCTGATGGATGGCTGAAATAGGAGAAGAGGAAGCAGCTTCAGGAACACTCAGTTTTTCATTCCATTCTCCAGGTCAACTCAGCCCCAGGCAGCCCTGGCTCAAGCCCTTACCACCTCCCCTGTGGTCACATGTCAGGGGTCCTCTCTCCCCATGGGACTGCGCTCTCTTCAAGGGCAGACACATCTTTCTGAGTCCCCAGCTCAGGAAGTGATTTTAGAGCTAAAGCCCCAAGCAGCGTTTGCTGAGCACCTGCCTACCATCTCCAAGGCTTCCCAGCTCAGGAGTCCCTGCTACTCATCTCACTCCCAACACTAACTGTGGATGTGCCAGATGAGATGGGGGCCCCACTAGGTCCTCTGCCTCAGCCTGTGTTCCTAGGCCTCGGCTGTAGGAGTCCTGGCTGCTGGTGACTTCCCTTTCTCTGGAGAAGGGCCCTCAGCTGGCAGGACCCGACCTGCACTGCAGGGGACCTGTCAGGGGCTGGTACACAGTCAGTGGGTGGATTAAGGCAAGGAGGCCAACTTTGTGGTGCAGGCCATGCCCTGGCAGCCCCTGTGGATTAGGCCTAGGTTAGACTCTGTTGAAGACTCTGTCCTCGCTCAGGCCTTCCCGATCTTCCCTCTCCTGTTTCCCTCTCTCTTACAAGTTTCTCTTGAGAGTGGTCCCTGGATACACCATATGCACCCAAATCCTTGTCTCAGGCTCTGCTTCTAAGGAACCCAACCTAAGGCCATGTTGATGTACCTGTTCCTTCCTCCTTATCACGGGGAAGTGCCCTTACCTCCTGGCTCTTCACCTGAGTCCACAGATACAGGCTTTTAGGAGCACGGGGCTTGGAGGGGGAGCTTCCAGGAGCAGCATGTCTTCTGTCGGCCATGCGTGCAGGTACGGTACCATGAATATGCCTGCTTCGGTCCTTACAAGGATTTGTCTGAACCCCAACAGCACAGCTCTCAGAGCAGTGAACCCCCACTGCTTCTGCATCCTCGGGCCACTTGGTCCATTAGTGCAGATGCTTCAAAAAATGGCCAGTGTGGACTAGTAGAAGAGGCAGTGAGCTTCAAGTCAGGGGCTGAGGAGGGAACGTGGTTCAGCCAGCTTGCAGTTGGGCAACTGTGGACAACTGACCCACATGCTCTGTGCCTAATTTTCTTCACCTATAAGATGGGAGTAATGATAGTACCTCCCTCAAGAGGTTGTTGGATTTGAATGAGTTCCTGCATGAGAAGCACTTTGAAAAGTACCTGTTTTAGTAATTGCTCAATAAATGTTAGCTATAATGTTACAATAGGAATTAAGTGATAAATCTGACTTGCAATCTTGCTCTTGCACATCTAGCTCCTGCCAGCCCAGCCTCCTTTCAATGTCTAGACCAACATTTCTCAATCCCAACATCACTGACATTTTGGGCCAGGTAATCCTTTGTTTTGGGGGGCTGGGGTATCCTGTGCATTGCTGATTCATCAGCATCACTGGCCTCCATCCACAGATGCCAGCAACACCCCTCCTTCCTCAGGTTTGAAGACCAAAACTGTCCCTAGACATTGCCCAACTTCCCCTAGGGAACAAAATCACCACCAGTTGAAAACCACAGGCCTAGAACATGTTGAAATCTTCTTTCCCCTCGACTCTGTGTGCTTCTTTCTTTCTGCCCTGCCTCCTCTCCCCTCAGCCAGCTCCTTCTCATCCTTCATCATCTGCCTAAGTGCCTCCTCCTCCAGGAAGCCCTCTCTGACTGCCTCGTCTTCCTGTCTCCACTCGTGGCAGCTTTTTTTCCATGGCTTTCATCACCATATGGAATCAGTCCATTTATCTGTCTGTTGAATTCTGTTTGTCCCTCTCACTAGAAGGGGGAATCCTCTGGAGCAGGATCTACATCCAACTGGACTGCTGATCCGTCCCTGGTGCCAAGCACAGGGTGGGCACAGAGCAGACCCTCGTTCAGCATATGACCCGAATGAACAAACAAGTCGGCTTGCCCAGTGGACAGGCTGCCCACAGCCACTGGGAAGCTTACCTTCTGGACTGTGAAGGTGCGTATGACATATTCTGCTAGGGGCTCTGTCTCAATCAGGCTGACTTTGATGTCTCCGTAGACCTCTGTGTCATCCGGCCAGTACCGTACACACTTCACCTGCGAGGAAAGACAGGGACAAGGATGGATGAGTGGGTGGCTGAGTGTGAGCAGCCGCCTTGTCTGGCCTTCCTGTTCAGATAAACCCAAGGGCGATTTTGGTGGCATTTCGGTCCAAGGGGCTCTCAGCTGGCCAGGGACTAGCAAACTGCACAGGGGCCACGCTCTCTCCCAAAGGAACTGGAGCCATGAGGAATAATGGTAGTACCTTCTTTTGCAGAGCTCCTTAAAATTTCCAAGTCCATTATCACACTAGGTGATCGAATCGATCAAGGTGTGAGATAGGCAGGTGGCGTTACCCCACTTACAGATGGAAACAATGCTCGAGTTTGGAGGTCTGGTACCTGGTCCAAGGTCACATGGCCAGTTTCCTACCTCTGGCTGAGCCCTCTTTCTGCTAGATCGGGTGGGGCAGCTGGGCGGCGTCAGCAGTGCAGAGATGAGAATAAAAGGTGGGAAGCAGCGAGGGCGTGGAAGCAGAAGTGGTGGGGAGAGGGCCATTACTATTCAGAGGTGGTAACTAGGGGCTGGAAGGAGAAAGGTTCTCAGCTGGGAGAAGGATGCAAGGAGCGGGACTCAAAGGGAAGACTTTGCACAAGGCTCTCTGCCCGGGCAGTGGGTGCAGATGCTAAGCGACAAGCCAGTCCCACATTGGACTCTACATCACACTCCGCGGGAGGAAAAAGAGATCACTGTTTTCCCCTAAAAAGAACAAAAGCATTACCATTCCGGGGGACGCCGCGCGGCCTAGAGTGGCATTTCCCACAGTGTGTTCCGCTGGGTGCTAATAGGTGTTAGGTAAAAAAAAACAAGAAACAAAAAAAACAAACAAAAAAAGGTTTTGTGGTCAAATGAGTTTGGGAAATGCTGGATTAAACAAAGTTAAACAGGCCGCTCTGCTACAAGACTCCTCAGCTCGTTGAACATGCTAACGCTAGTGTGTGTTCGACTCTCCGAGAGGGGCAAAGAGGGCACAGCATTTCCCAAACGTATTTAACCATGGAACCCTCTTCTCACTAGGTATCCTGCAGACTAGCATCCCATGGAACCCACTTAGGGAAACGCTGGCATAGCGCAACAGGCTTTGCAGGCAAACGGATGCGTTGCTTGGTTCTAACACTCAGCAGCTGTGTAGTTTCCAGAAAGTGCTGAAATCTGAGGCTCAACTTCCTATTAATAATGATAGCTAACCCTTACTGACAGCTTACTATGTCTCACACTGCTTCCTAAGTGGTCTATGAGTTCCTTACATGTATTATTTTAATCGCTTATTGCTACAACCTTACACAGATGTGATTATTACCCCACTTTACAGATGAGGAATCAGAAGTGTTGAGGGGCTAAGAAGATTGTCCAAGGTCAGGAAGGGATGGAGCCAGGATGCAAAGCCAGGCCACCTGAATAATTACCAGAAACACTGCCTCCCTCGTGTAGTTGTCGGGAATGAAAATGAATATTAAAGTGCATCGTAGGCGTCTGGCATAGTGCTTGGCTCCTAGCGGGATTTCCATCAAGATATTGCTCTCCTGATCCCTCTCCAAATCCAAATTAGATTCATCATCTATCCATCAAGGGAATCTGTCTCCAATATGGGATAGGCTATACTATAGGCTGGAATTTGCCTCTGAATTCTTAAATCCTAGCCTAGCCTGTTTGTCCCCAGCAGCTGCTCTGCAGGCCTAGGTCCTTGGGAAGTAGCTGTGAATGGAGGGGTCATGACACTAGCACAAGAATTAAGAGGCAGAGATTGTGGCCAGGCTCTGGCTGAGAGACTAAAGGACAGTTACTCCAGCCCTTTGGGCTTGTTTCCTCATCTGTAAAACTGGGGAGGGGACGAGGTGAGAGTGGGCTTGAGGATCAAGTCTCTCCTGGTCCTAGAACCCTATGAGATCACGAGATGTACACATCCCTTTCCTGGCTTATGATTCTCTCTTTCCCATCATCTTGGAGGCCGAGACTCTTTACTTTAATGGACTATCTGGTTCTTTGCCAAAACAAAAACTTACCTGCCCACTCTTCAGTTAGTTCATATGGTAAGTAGAGGAGAGGCCCTCTTCATTCTAGTGTTTGGCACCCTATCTTTCGACCCAGCAGCCCGCCCGCCCACATGCCACAGTTTACCGAGTCAGCAAAAGCAAGCTGGGAATAGCAGTCCCACTTCCAAGCCCTAGGAGTAGCTAAAGATGACATAGGAGAAAGTCGAGATAGAGCAGAGCAGGAGACCAAGGCCTGAGCCCTGAGGAATATTGAGGTTTAGAGGTAAGGGAGCAAAGGGTGGATGCTCTGAGAGGCTGAGTTCGATGGGAAGAAAGAAGTGGCTTTTGGATTTGTCAACATGAAGGATGCTGGTGATGTTGACCATATCACATGGGTGGGATGGAGGGAGTAGTTACGTTGGAGAGGAAAGAAGAGAATGAGAGTGGAGAAACAGAGCCTGTATGTGAGTCTTTAGAGTCTGGCTGAAAGGTAGGGACAAGAGAATCCTTTTTGTTGGCTTGTTTTATATTTTCAGGAGGAAGGTACTCAGGACATTTCTATGTCCCGGGGAATAATCTAGCAACAGGAAAAAGAGTTACTTTTCAAATGAGAAAATTCTTGAGTAGGATCTGTGATTCAAGGCACTGGGATTGCCTTGGAAAGGGCAAGAGTCACTTCCTCTATCGAATGAGGCTGAGCTACGTTAGAAACAGCAGATATTTTACCGTTTGGGTCAACAAAAATGGCCTTTTTTTAAAAAAATTTATTTTTTTTTTATGGTTTGCCCTGATAACAGAGGGGAAGAATGAGAAGATGATTGCAGATGCAAGTAGGACTGTGGCTTTGGGGTGTGAAGATGAGAGTTCATGTCTATATGGCTTTAATTTCCCCAAAGGGCATGAGATGACATCATCAACGGAGCGAGGGAGGAGGAAGAGATGACTTGGAGGGAAAGGCCGTACTCCTCAAATGGGAAGAGGGCTGAGGATTTCTCCCACGCAGGCTGTTGTGAGGGTGAGCTGCTAGACCCCCGGGGGTATGGGGCACAGAGCAGAGAGGTGCTCTGGAGGGCAGTGCCAGCAACCTCTGTCCAGGTAACTGCGGGAGGGGCTTACCCTGCCCACTTCCACGAGGTTTGTGACCATGACGATGCTGGCTGAGTTCTCCTGCCAGATCATTCTCCAAAAGTCCTTGACAGTCTCTTGCATTGGACCTGCCGACAGAGAAGGTGACAGGGTCAAAGACCACACGTGCAAGGAGGCAGCCGAGAGGCCGCCCCTCCTGGTGGGTCAGTCCATGCTCAGCACAGGTGAGCGAGAGTGAGGCCAGGTGATCCTTGCTGGGACACCTGAGTCGCTGAGACTGGGGCCACAGTGTGGAAAAGAAAAGGGGCATTCCAAACTAGCATGGTCTGCGGCATCCACTGCAAACGTCAACAGCTCTTCCTCCTCCCTCTGCCGGCGTCCTGCTCAGGTGCTGTCCCTCAGCCCCTACTTGGCTTCCCACTCATCACCTTGTAGGGACTATATTATGAGTTAATGATATAACTTAAGGGAGTTTTCATACAAATCCAGCTCTGAAACCTCAGTGAGAGACAGGGAGGAAATTGGGGTTGCAGGGGGCGAAGAGGACCTAATGCTGCCAGGCGCCCGATGCTCATACTATAAAGAGTTAGAGGCCCAATTTTGAGCTTGAAAGACACAAGGAGCATTCCTCTGGAGCCCATGTGGGAGGGAGGGAGGGAGGGGAAAAGACATGGACGAGGAAAGCGAGATAGGATCTGAGAGTCCAAAGCAATTTCCTTGAAAATTTCTCTTTCAATGTCCTGGGCCTTCATCGCTTTTCCAATTACAACAGTAATACATGTGTTTGATATAAAAATCTACATAGCATTTTTCTGTGTTTATATAGGTACTTATGTATTTGCTATAATAAGTGAATTACTATATGCGTTTTTACATGTATCATTATTAAATGCATTTTTGCATGCTCCTAAAAATTCTTAACCAAGCATGATACATGTTCACTGCATGATTTTCTATAATATAGAAGCATCGCACTTTATTGAAGCAATCTACCAACTGTTAGGCATTTAAGATTTTTCACTTTTTTTCCTATTACAGATAACACGGTGAAGAGTATCTTTATATATGTCACTGTCCACAGATATAATTATCCTCAGGATTTCCTCTCCAAAGGGTTTGGGAGGTAGGATCCTTTTTTAAGCCTCTGATAGTGTACTGCCAAGTTGTTTTCTAGAATGGCTGACTAGTTCTCTCTCCTAGGCACATGCTCATCAAGGAGCTAAGACACCATCAGTTCCAGTTCTGGATAGTGGATACTGTTGGCACCTGCCCGAGGCTGGGGCTTCTGGTCTGCCCTGCCTGTGACCCTTTCCTAGCGCCACCTCCTTTATCTCTCACTTATGTCCCTCCCCCTAGAGCTGAATTTGTCACCTCTTTCCTTCCCACACAAACAAATGGATGCTCCCAGGAGGCTCTCCAGCCCTACTCCTGTGTGACTTCTTTGCTGGCAGAAACCCATTTCTCTCTTCCAGTAAAGCATGAGGACCCTTTCAAGGAAAAGGAGCGGACTTACCCTGAGTTGCAATGTAGTGCCGAGGTCGATGGTATCCCTGCATGACAGGAGAGAAGCATGGTGAACAGAGAAGCACGGTGAAGGGCCTCCAGTCAAAGCTTGAAAACACCAGAGTATTAATAGTCATCCCTTCCAAGACAGCCTTTACTCACAGGCTTAAAATGAGAATCGCATCAGGCACTTCCCAGAGAAGTGGCAAAAATTATATAAGATAATGCAGGTAAAGCGCTTATTAAATCACTAAATGTGGGGTTCCTGGGTGGCTCAGTGGTTGAGCGTCTGCCTTTGGCTCTGTTGTGATCCTAGGATCCTGGGATCTAGTCCCACGGGGAGGCTGCTTCTCCCTCTGCCTATGTCTCTACCTCTCTCTCTGTCTCTCATAAATAAATAAATAAAATCTTTAAAAAAATCACTAAATGTTAGCTATTATAAATAAATATATAAATCACTAAATGTTAGCTGTTAGTTACTTGGGAGGGGCCCATATAAGGCTTGCCTTGGAGGCAAAACTGAGTGGCTCTTACTTATGCCCATGTACCCAGAAAGAGGCAGAGAAGGAACGTGGGCGTTACTGTGGGATACAGACCACCAAAAAGTCTTCCCTAAGTATAATTGTGTGTGGAACACTGTGTGAGTCTCTATAGAGGACCTGATAGAAGAAAACAACTGCATTGTTGGCCCCTTCCATGAGTAATAATTAGAAAAAAAAATCAGAAAGAATACCACCGTGCTTCTCTGTGCCATAGGGCTGGGTTTGGGACTGGAAGTCCCATTCACCAGGAGGGCCCCGTACAGGTGTGACCTAGGGGCGGGCGAGACTACTTTCTGAGTTGGAGACCAGTTTCTGATATCCCTGTACATTTCGCTGTCCCAGGAGGCCCTGCCATGCTCTGCTGTGGGGTTGCTCTGTGCTCCATAACCCTAATCACTGGGGAAGAGGTTGAAGACAGCCTTCTCTTTTGCCTGGGTACGATGATACAGGGAGGATCCCTTTTCTAGCTCCAGAGAGGAATTATATCCTACTGGGTAGAGTTCAAGTTTTGGACAATGATTTGCATTTAGTACATACCACTGAACATAATATGTGAATGAATACATGAGCGAATGAACGAATGGATGGATCTATACATTTTCAAACTAGAGATGCCAGTAATGGAGCCTGCTGGTGGAGAGGTTATCGAGAGCCCTAAAATCCACTCTCCTTCATGGTTCTCTCTCAGGAGAGAATGAGCCCTAATGTTAGATGAATACCTAGTTTTGTCTCAAATGCTGGTGATCAGTCTTTCTGTCCCATCGGGGTAGATGAGCTGCCTCAAGGTCCTCTCACTTGGGAAACCAGCCAGAATTGCCATCTGTATGGTTTATGGTGAAACAGGCGTGGCATCCCTGAAGTCCTGGATCCACTTTCTGATTCAAAGACTGGGTTTTGAGTCCCCTGTGTATTTCTCTACCTCGGTCTTCCCCTTGCTCCAGAAATACTTAGTAGGTGCCTTTTGATTGCTGGGCATACTCTAGAGATGCCAGAGTTCACTGTCAGCACCAACCCACGGCCGGTGGTGTGGCCAGAACTAGCAGGCTAACCACAGTCACTAGGAATCATCAGTGCCCCTAAATTCTTCGTTTGAGTGGTCCTAGCTCCTTAGTGAAGTTATCAGCTTCTTGAGGACAAATGCTGCCTCCTAAGTTTAAAAAAATGTTAAATAAATAAATAAATAAATAAATAAATAAATAAATAAATAAATTTAAAAAATAAAAAAATGTTTCCATAGAGGGGCGACTGGGTGGCACAGTCCAGTGAGCATCTGGTTCTTGGTTTTGAGTTAAGTCATGATCTCAGGGTCATGACTAGAGCCCCATGTTGTGTTGGGATCTGCGCTCAGCATGCAGTCTGCTTGAGATTCTCTCTCCCTCTCCCTTTGCTCCTCCTGCTCATGCTCACACTCTCCCTAAAGTAAATAAATATTAATTTTTTTCCCCATAGAGCCTAGCACAGTGTAAGACTCAGAGCAAATGTCCCGTGAATGAGTGGCTCTAGACCCAATTGCTGGGGTCTGAATCCTGGCTCTGACCTTTATGAACTGTGTGGTCTCAAGCAAGTACTTAACCTTCTTATGCCTCAATTGATTTTTTGCCATCAAATGAGGGTACTTATATACATATAGTAGTGCTGTTTGGATTATACGGCAGTTACTCTGTGCCAGGCACTATTCTAAGACTTAACATATATGACTTTATATTATTTTATCAGTTATCTGGCAAACATTTATTGGGTGCCTACTGTGACTAAGTGTCCTTGTTGGCCACTTGGGAGATGGCAAGCTCAGAAGCCCTTTCCTCCTCATTGCTCTGCTTCTACCAGAAAACTGAGCCCCTCTTTGAGATAAGAGAAGTAGGAAGGGAGGTAAGAGGGACCAGAAGCTATCTGTTCCTTCAAGTCAAGATGGTTAGGGTTCCCCAGGCTTGAAGGAGGAATTAGGCTCTGGGAGTTTTCTTCGGTAGGTTTGGGAACAAGAAACTAGTCCCCCAGAGTGTAGACAGATGTGGTTTCTCAAGCCCACCTTCTTCCATCACCAGCATCATGATGCCTCATTACAGTCCTGTCCTTCCCGACCCAGGCCACGGCACCTGCCACTTGCTGGCCTCCCTGCCTCCAGTCTGGTCCTGTCATCCATTTGCTTCCAGCCAGAGTGAACTCTCCAATGCACATCTAGTCACTTCCCCACTGATCAGCCTGCAATGGCTCCCCACTGTCTACACAATAATGTCCAAATGTCTTAACTCAGGACAAGTCATAGCCTTGCTGCCAGTTGTCCCTCTCCATCTCCTCCCATGGGCCCTATATCCCAGCTTCCCTGCACTGCACTTCAAACGAGACCTCCCTCCTCCTAAGCAGTCCTGTGGGCTTTTGCATGTGCCCCACGAACACACAACACGAGCTGCACTACGGTTTTTGGACTTTTCTCCCATGGGCCATAGCACATGCCACTTGGAGCTGGGTGCAGTTTTCAGCAAAGGCTGGTAGGTGGCATACACACATAAACAGGTCTTTGAGGATAGGTTGGGGTACTTGTCATGGTATCCCTATTTCCTCCCTCCAGTGGCATTCTCTGTTCCCACTGCTCTGCCCCCGGCTCACGTGCTGTCTTGCCCTTCTTCAGAAACAGGAGTCACATTTCCATCTAGAGGCCTTCACGCTGGCCATTCTCCGTGCCTGTTGCATCAGTCCCCAGTTAACTGGCTGCTTTGCTCTCTCCCTCCATCCTGGCTTCTGCTGGATTGCTAGTCACTTCCACAGAGAGCCACCCCTGACTACCCTGTCCAACGCTTTCATGATTCTCTGGGTTAATTTTCTTCAGGGTCCTTATCCCCAGGAGCATAATGTTCCTTGGTGATGTACCTACTCATGGTTGGTCTCCCCAGTGGAACGAGAGTGCCAATAGGGCAGGGCTGTGTCCAGGGTTTGCTGGTGGCTGTGTCCTCAGCACAGAGAAGTCTGCCTGGGCCATCAGCCTCAATAAAAACATACCAAAGGCATGCATACATGCGTGTCGTGTGCCTGTCTGCACCCTGCATGTGAGGGAAAAGGCCCTCTCTGGTCCCCAAGACCCCAGCCAGTCCCCAAAGAGAAAAGGTTCCAACCACAGGACACCTCAGCAAGAGAGATTAAATGAAATGTATTGCTCAACTGGGGCTTTACTGGGGATTTGCCAAGAACTGGTACAGAAAACTTCCTAACCTTAAAAGAACTTTGAGTTCATTTAAGTCCCACCTACACAGCACACAGATCGACTGCAAACCAGCACCGGGCCTGCCTCCATCCGTCTGTGAGCAATGGGAAAGAGGCTTGCATCCAAAACGCATTTATCTCACTCTGAACTCATGCATCTGTTACTTACTGGGGACCCAGATACGATATTTATTTCCAGACTGGTAATTTATAACAGATTCAAGTGGCCAATACATTCTCGGGTGTGCAAACAAACCCGCCAGCGGTATGGTTCAGATGGTAGCAGAACCGTGGCCTCTGGAGGCACAGACAGGGCTGGCCCCATCCAGCTCATTATCCAAATGGAGCTGTTTTAATGGATCCTCAAGATCCAATTGTGGATAAATGATTCCAGCATGGGCAGTTAGCTCTGCTGAGAGCAGATGTCCAGGAGGATTTCAGCCGGGGTAGAGACCAGGGCAAAAGAGTGAGGACCTCGAGCCATCCAGGGTGTGTCTTGCCAGGAATTCCCAAGGATGATAGGAATTTTAAGTTTGCTGGAGCACACAGTAGGTTCACAATTAACGTGATTCCCCACCCTGTATGGGTAACGTACTGGGAGGTGCTTGTGCTTGGTATCTTCTCTATCCCTCAATGATCTCACTTTTACCTTCCATACTCAGCTCTGTGCCATGGATGGATGCTGATCTGTATGGACTACATCATGGGCTTCCATGGCTTCTGGCTTCCAGTTGGGTTTGGCCAATGGGGGGCAGACACAGGAGCCCAGACCAACCAACCATGTTGATTTCCCCTATTTCTGTTCCAACCCTCACTAACCCCTCTGCCCCCTGTTACTTCCTTTGAGTGAGCTTCTGTTTCCTAATAGGAGACTGATATTCTGCTAGGATAGCATTATTATCCTACTTTACAGATATCAGAACAAGTAAATAATTTACCAAGATCATAAGGCTAGAAAGTAGAAAGGCCTGGACTCCAGAGGCCCAACAAGGGCTGAATTCATGACTTTGGGCTCATGAAACTGACTCTAAGCACTGAGATCCAGTGGAGGCCAGTGTCACACATGAAGACAGCATCTAGCGGAGGCTATTTGGCCCATCTGCGTGATCTGCTTCTTTGAAAGGGATGAGATTGTGGGGTGTCCCTAGCACACAGAGAACTGGATTCTAACCATGTAACCTTGAGCAAGGACCTTAACCTCGTAACTGCAACACCTGGTTTCTTCTCCTGAAAGGCTTGCAGAATGCAGCATAATGAAAGGACCTGGCAGGAATGGGAGGCATTTTCAGTGTTGATGTTGCAGAGATTCACCTGCACTTCAGGCAATTCCATTTTTGCCTGTACCATACCAAAGTGCATGCTGGCTGTGACTGTAGTGCTCCTGCAACTTTGTTTATCTAGCAAAGTATCTGTCTAGGAAAGTTAACTTTTGTGGGAGGGTTACCACTCAGATGGCAAATGCTGCATACAGCACTGGGGGCCCCAAGGACACAGCTGAGACAAGGTCAAGGGGAAACCGGAAGGAAGTAGTTCAGTCTGGTTAACCGCATGCTGAGTTCCCACTATGTGCTGGCTGCAAGATGCTGTTGGGAGCTGGCAGGGAGGGGCAGGAGGAAAGGCTCTGGACTGGGAATTATTATGGTCTAGTTCCTGGTTTGTTTCTACTTCTGACTAGCTGCATGGCCTTACTAAAGCTTTGTAATCTATTATTATTATTATTATTTGGAAAGGAAGAGACCGAGGGTAGGAGGGGACAGAGGGAGAGAGAGAGAAAGAGAGAGAGAGAATCCTAAGCTGTCTCCACACTCAGCACAGAGCTGGACATGGGGCTTGACCTCATGACCCCAATATCATGACTTGATTCGAAATCAAGAGTTGGGTGCTTAACCAATGGACCCACCCAGGCACCTCAAGCTTTGCAGTCTCTCAGCTTCTCTATCTGAAAAATGGGGATGATTACCTAATTTGGGGAGCTACTGAAGGGTCTCCATGGACAGACTCCCTTAAATCCACCCTTCACGGGGCCCAAACATGATTCATTTAGAGCCACTGGCTGTTGTCCTAGCTTTACTGTTATTATTTAAGCCAGCAGAACATGGAGGGAAAGCCACCCCTGATTCAGACTTCTGCTCCCTCCTCCTCCACATCCTAGCAGTGTGATCTGGATAACTTCCATAATTAATCAAGGGCCTCAGCTAATTCATCTGGAAATGGGTAGTAATCACACTTACTTATGAGGTTGTGGTACTAGTTCAAGTAATGTTGATACACAAGAGGTGATCTTAGGTTACTATCAATCCTTCTTGCCTGTTGGACTCTTACTCACTGGCTACGGCAGCACTGTGTTACCTCATCCAGGAAGGCTTCCCTGACTATCCACCCCTACCCCAACCAAAGCTTTGGTTTTCCTTTATGTTCCCATAGGCCCTGCTCTGTGAAGGTCTCTTTTCTTACCTAACTCCTTCACCAGACCCGGTCCCTTTTCAGGTCTGGATTTCTAGCACACAGTAGAGGACCTGCTCAGCATTTGGGAAATGAGTACTAGATGCATGAGGGAGAGGCCAGAGGTATGATGGGTGGATATTCAGAGTGCATTCTCCAGGCTCAAAGACAGGCTGTTCTGAACTGGCCATCTTCTTGTGAACTTTCCTAGAAGGGCCATGGGGACAGAGACTATGTCTACCTTGACTTCCACTGAAACTCTAGCCCCAGGTCCTGACCACGGGAAGGCCCTCTGTAAGCCAGGGTCCAGGTGAATCCAAAACCACTCTGGGTGTTTCAGACACAAGGAATTCAGCCTGGGAAGCTGGTGACATAGGTGACAGAGGAGCTGAGATGCTAACCAGGGAACAGAGTGACATCCCTGAGATTGGCACCAGCAGGAGGCTGTAACCACCCTTGGAACTAGTGGATGATGGGAGACAGAGAAGCTGCCAGCCCCGGAGAGGTGGAAATTCTGGTGGGTGTGCCTGGTAGGAGCTGGCTCCATGGCTGGGATGCAGCCACTGCTGGAGCTGCCACCCAAAGAAGTAAGAGGGGAGGATGACACCAGCTTTCCTTTCGCCTTCCAATCTCCCAACAGCACCTTCCTTGTAGGGGTTGTCCTGCTCTCCTTCCTGACCCCCCTCCCACACACACACTCAAAGGCACGCTCTCTCTCACATACACAATCATATAAACAATGCAAAGCAGAGCGGGGAAGGACAAGAAACATATCTGAGAGCAAACAGACAAATGACTAATGCAAGGCTCCATAAATATTTGTTGAATCAATGAATCATCTGGATCAGCCTAGATTATGGGGAATTCAAACGCATACCACTCCATTTCATAGCCTGTCTATAAAAACACTTGGGCATCGGAGAGACCAAGGTGATCTCCTTCATTCATCAAGCCCTCAGGCCCCTAGCGGAGGTCCTGAGAAGCCTGGCTTGCATCGGCTATGACAGGACATCTGTCTGTGATGGCTGTGCTCGCCCTTTGCAAACTGTCTCACTCCTTTGGTGAAGCAGCCCCTTTCCTACCAGGGTGTCTGAATCCTAGACTCTCCGTCCTTGGATCTATCTTACCCTTGGTGATAGATAAATCATCCCAAGGCTCTGCTCTGAACAGGTCACCTCCATGATCAAAAACTTTCAATAGCTTTTTCTTGTCTACAGAGTCAAGTCCGGCTTTCTACGTGTGAGCGTGAATCACCAATGATCTAGCTCAAAACTTACTTTCCACTGTTCCCAAGATATAGCCTCTGCTCCCTTCAACCCGAGCTGCTACATACTTTCTGCTTCCAGCTGCGACATCTTGGCTTGTGCTGCCCTAACCAGAAGCCCATCTTCTTCCTCTTTAATTTTAAATTCATCCTGTGCTTGAAGCTTTGGTTCATATCACATTTTGCATTCCTGATGGAAGAAGTGATTTTTTTTCGCCCACCTCTGAATCCCTGCAGCATTTTATCTGAACATATGACACTTACCACTTTCCAGTTTGCCCTGGAATTATTGATGTGCATAGCTTATCTTCCTGCTCAGGTTTTAAAGGGTAGAGACCATGGCGCCTTTAGCTTTATGGTTCCCAGAGCATCTGGCACACAGCAGGCACTTTTAAATTTGTGTTGCATAAATGGCTATACCTTCAAATGAATGGATGGATGGACAAACAGACACACGTATAAATGAATCAATGGGTGAATGAACAAGACAGGCAACTGTCCTGGGAGCCCACAGAGCAGGCTACTCCAGCCAGCCCCAAAGAGGATGCAGCTTTAGGTAGAAAATCAACATGGGTTATGCTAATCACACAAATTAGGGAGGAGCCAGACCTCTCTGGACATGTTTTGGGAAGGCCCCCTTGTTGGGGAGAAACTGGGGGATGGCCACAGATCTCGAGCCTGCTACAACCAACCCCAGAGCCCAGCTACCCAGCCCTGTGAAGATTCTCACATCAATGTAGTTGGCGTTGATGTAGTCAGAATGTGGGTCTCCATCCAGCACCAGCAGCCTCACCCGGGAATGGTCATCTGCAGAGAGAGAAGAGAAAACAAGGCGGTGGTGGTAAGGGGCCTGCGGTGAGGGTCACTGCCCTCCTGCAGAGCTACCATGTATTAGTAGTACGGGCATCATGCTGCTTCTCACTCACTGTCTCATTTGACCCCTGGCCCCACCCCATCTTCATCCCCTTTTACAGATGAGGCAGTTGAGGCTTAGGGAGATCACTGTGCCTTAAAAAGTACTGTGTGTACTCCTCTTTTTTTTCCACCTGCCCTTCTAATGCTGCCATTACCTACCTGGGTGAGTCTCCTGCTTCTTTTTTTTTTTTTTTTTTAATTTTTATTTATTTATGATAGTCACACAGAGAGAGAGTGAGAGGCAGAGACACAGGCAGAGGGAGAAGCAGGCTCCATGCACCGGGAGCCCGACGTGGGATTCGATCCTGGGTCTCCAGGATCGCGCCCTGGGCCAAAGGCAGGCGCCAAACCGCTGCGCCACCCAGGGATCCCTGAGTCTCCTGCTTCTTTAAGTCTTAGTGATTTTTGTCATTAAAAGGGCAGTAGAAATACTTTCTTTACAGGGCAGTGAGAGAGAAAGATCAAAACACTCCGGAGGCGAGAAGTGTCGGATCCGAAGTAATATGCTCCATTTTCATTATTGCTTAAAAATGGCAAATTTACCTATTTTACACATGTGCACAAATGCTTTTCTTTTGCCTCTTGGAGAATTGTTGCAAATAGATTGTTGGCCACATATTGTTATCAATACATTCATTCAATGAAGCTGGCTCCATCAGTATAAAAGAGGTCATCAATAACTAAAAACGTGTTACGGAGAATACCATTTCAAACACAATCCAGGCATAAACAAGATTTGCAGGGTTTAGTCAATGGCACAGTTACTTCAAATAACATCAAATAAAAACCATTAAAAAAAAAAAACCCTTGTGCAGAAGAATCAGGCTAATCCTTTACAACTAATTAAAGTATGCTGTGACATGCTAACAGACACACACAGACAGAAACCCTGGCTGGGTCTAGTGGGAGGAGGGGCTCAGCTTGCTGTCCAGGTCACTGTCATCTATCACTGCATGTCTCCGCATCCACTGTCTGCTCTAGGATAGGGTTAGGGTTCCCAGCAAGGGGGCTGGAGGGCTCTGAGCATCTGGCCAGTGTCCCCAGAGTCAGGAGGTTGGGTCAGCATAGCCTGCTAAGACAGGTAGCAACCATTTGCTTTGACGTGGATGGAGCTGGAGGGTATTATGCTGAGTGAAATAAGTCAATCCCAGAAGGACAAACATTATATGGTCTCATTCATTTGGGGAATATAAAAAATAGTGACAGGGAATAAAGGGGAAAGGAGAAAAAATGTGTGGGAAATATCAGAAAGGGAGACAGAACATGAGAGACTCCTAACTTGGAAACAAACTAGGGATGGTGGAAGGGGAGGTGGGCGGGGGTGGGGGTGACTGGGTGACGGGCACTGAGGGGGGCACTTGATGGGATGAGCACTGGGTGTTATTCTATATGTTGGCAAATTGAACACCAATAAAAAATAAATTTACAAAAAAAAAAAAGACTGAGGCAGCACTTTGCAGTTCATAGGTACATCAACTACTATTACCCAGAAGCCCCTGAGAACAGGGACATTAGTGCTTCACTCCCTGTTCCATCCTCTGTGCTTCCACATGTGGCAGGCACTCCAAATCCTAGTGAGGTGCACTCACAAATCCTTAGTGAGTGTATGAATAAATCATCTCATTGGATGCTCACAGTGATCCTGTGTAGATCCCATTACAAATGAGGAGACTGAGGCTCACAAGGATTGCCTGGCCCCATGGTCCATGCATGCTAGAACTTGAAAGAGTGAGGTTCTCTTAACTCTGAGCTCAGATATTCCTGCTCCCAAAGAAGGGTCTAAGCAGGATACTGGGAACTGCTACAAGTATACACAGCAGTGGGGAATAAAGGACAGAGAAGTGGCTAGCCAGTGATGGAAGAGCCGAGAAGCTGAAGAAAGGCTGTGTGGTAACTCAGAGATCAGCATTAGCAAGGAGACATGCCTCACTGGGGATGGCAGGCCAGAAGGCCGAGGCGAGGTTATCAGAGCTGGGTGCTGGGGCTCCCCCATGGAAACTGGAGTCCGTAAGCCTCTCTGGTGGGAGCTGGAAAAAAAGAGTGGCCTTTCTCGCTGCTAAAAGAGGACTCGGTGATTGGGACAGAGTGGGCTTCTTCCTTTCCCTGACTTCAAATCTCCCACCAGTGCACATCCTTGGCCAAAGCCAAACAGACACTAGTTGGCAAGAAAGTGAGAAATGGAATCTGCAGGTGTCAGTTCCCTGTGAGAAAAATTTGAACATGAGAAGGTAAGGAATGGGTCCAGGACTGGACAGGACACTACTTCATATCCATTAATACAATAATTCAAAAATTATTCATTGAGCAAGTGCCGGGCACTATGACAGACACAGAGATATACCGGATGCCACTTTTCTTACTCCTCATGGGCAAGGGTTGCAGGTGGGATGTCTAACTCATCCTTTTGGGTGGTAGGGGAGTGGGGCATGAAGTCAAGAGTTTGAAGTTCACTTTTCTGGAGTTCATGGCAGGTATGACTTTACATATGTAATCTTACTCAATTTATTCCTCAACATTGCTCTGTAGATTACCCCAATAATACAGTGATGATAGAGTATGTTTATTCTTCTCATTTCGCAGATGAACAGAGGCCCAGAAAGGTTAAGCACATCCCCAATGTTATGCAGCCTCAAGTGGCAGAGCTGAGATTCTATCTCAGGTCTGTCTGAACCTGAACCCCTGCTCCATCCACACATGGTGCTGCCCCTGGACTTCTAGCATCCCATAGGCACTGCTTCTGGAGTCTGTGCAAATGGTTGGTCCCAGATCCTGCAGTATTCAGAAGTGGGACTTCCCAGGGGGGCCTCCACCCGCTCCAGGAAGGAGTCAGACAAGGCCTAGCACCCGACTCCGAGCTGAGACTGTTAAGGAAGCCCTGTTACCAGCAGTTTCAAAAACTAGGAGCCTTAAAAAAGTCAAAATGCACATTGTGCTTTCACTCATTGGTCTCACTAATAACTTATTGATTCAAAAATCTCCTTTGTTTATTGAGTTATGACTGCCCCTGGGGGTCTATAGCATTGGAATCAGAGATTCTGGTTTAAAATGTTGAGAAGGAATTTTCTTTAACATAAAATGAAAGTTAAAATCTGGAAGCAAAAGTGATTTTAAAAACCCAAAAGAAACAAACTTATTTAAGTTAAATATCCTTAATGATGAAAGCGGCCTCTAACCGCCAAATGATGGTGTTTGTTGATATTGTGTCTTCATCCATTCATGAAGAACCTACTATGTGCAGGCTGGTTGAATGGCCTGAGGAAGTACTGTCAATACATCATTTCTGTTTTTTTTTTAAGATTTTATTTTTATTTGAGAGAGAGAGAGAGAGAGAGAGCAAGAGAGAGCAAGAGCGGTGGGCAGAGGGAGAAGCAGGCTCCCTGCTGAGTTGGAAGCCCTATGTGGGGCTTGATCCCAAGGACCCTGGGATCATGACCTGAGCCAAAGGCAGACACTTAAACAACTGAGTCACCCAGGCGCCCCAGGAAGTACTGTCAAAATGATACTCATGCTTAAGGAATTTGTCAGTGTCGTGTGGGAGACAGACTGTACATGGAAGTCCAACTTCCAGAGCTAGAGAAAGTAGAAAAAAGAGGGCTTTGTGAAGTAGTATGTGAATGAGGAATTTAAAAAATGAGGTAAGACTTGACTAGTAGACAGTGAGGAAGGGTCTTTCCATCAGAGGGAAGACAAGAGTGGAGGCAGTGCTCCAGAAAGAGCAAGCATGGTGGGGAGGTGGAAAACCATTTCCTGTCTTATGGACACAGTGTGAGGGAAGATTGGCCAACAGGAGAAGAGAGAGAGGGGGTAGGCAGGGGTCAGGTTACAGAGGACTCTCCATTCCGTATTAAGGCACTTAGATGCAAGTGTCCATGCTGGGCTCTGCAGGGCGTCCAAGTATAGGATACCTCTATTTTCTGGGGCTGCAAAATGCTATTTTTATTATGCAGTGACCAACATTCATTCCCAGAGGGCTAACCTATGGCAAGTGGGATATACTGATGATGCAAGGTAGGGAGCTGAGGGTCAGATCTGGGTTCAGACCTTAGCCCTATCACTTAGTAAGTCAATTGCTCTCTCTTAGCTAGGGTTGCTTAGGAAAGTGAACCAATACCATATAGCTCACAGAGTACTGGGGGGATTAAATGAGGAAACGCAGGCATGAAAAGTGTGAGGATGTTAAGAAAATGAAAAGACAAGCCACAGACTGGGAGAAAATATTTGTAAGATACCAGATAAAGGACTTGTACTCACGCTATACAAAGAACTCTTAAATGCAACAAGACAACAACCCAATTAAGAAATGGGCAAAAGATCTGCACAGACACCTCTGCTATAAAGGTACACAGATCAGGTAAATACATAAAAAATGCTCAACATCATATGTCAGTAGAGGATTTCAAATTAAAACAATAATGAGATATCTCTATATAGCTACTAGAACAGCCCAAGTCTAGAACATTGACAACACCAAATGCTAGTGAGGATATAGAGCAACAGGACCTCTCGGTTTGTTGCTGGTGGGCATGCAAAATGGTGCAGCCACTTTGGGAGACAGTTTGGCAGTTTCTTTGAAAACCAATCATACTCTTATCCTATGATCCCAGCAATTGCTGTCTTTGGTATTTACCCAAATGAGTTGAAAACTTACATCCACACAAAAACCTGCACACAAATGTTTATAGCAGTTTTACTCATAGCTGCCAAAACTTAGAAGAAAAAATCCAAGATGTCCTTCAATAGATGAATGGATAGACAAATCGGTATACCCATACAATGGAATACCATTCAGGGATTATTTAGAAATGAATGATCAAACCATGAAAAGACACAGAGGAAACACGGACACCTACTGCTAAGTGAAACAAGCCAGTGTGAAAAGGCTTCACACTGTG